TGCTAACACGTCTCCGCGAGGGAGAGACCAAACCCCAAGGATTCCATGACGGAAATGCCATGGGGTTAAACCCATATCCCGGAGGATAGGGGAAAGGTCCCGCGGGCTGGGAGTGACCCCAGAACTGGCCAAACTGGCCTGCCTGAGACTGGGGCTGGCCAACTTGCCCAAAGGGCGAAGGTGGACCGCCACTCCCTCCAGGTGGAAACCCGGACATGTACGGGCTAAGCCCGTAACTGCCGGGATGCTGCCGCAACCCAAAACCATCCGCAGGCTGGTAAGGGCGGCCCAAGGATGGTTGCCCGCAGGCACCCGTATACCCTAAGCCAGGGGAAAACGGAGGCCGGAAACCGGCCCCCTGTCCAGCAAACCCAACCCCTGGGGGGAAACCCCCCAGGTTCCCAGAAGAATGAAACTCGGGACCGGACCTAATAGGACCGGGTCCGGGTAACTGACCGGGAGGGTATGCCTGACCAGCATTGATGCCGGGATTAGTGAGCTGCGCGTCACTAATCCCGGTAGACACAGACAATCCCGAAAGAAAGTCTGTTGTCACACCAGGACCTGAACCCGAAAGAACAGGCCCGGCACCAAGACTGTCCCCAACGACAGCACCACCTGGAATGCCGGGATCACTGACAGAGTCAGTGACCGGCGGCCGGTAGTCCCTACCCGAAGGCAAGCGCGAAAGCTTACGGGCGTTCCCGGCCAATTCGACCCTTGGCTGTGCCAAGCCAGGGTCAGGCTGCCCCTCCCCTACTCCAGGGAGTTCCTGGACAGGAAGGGCCACCCCCTGCTCACGAGAGGGACTTGCCGAAGCAAGACCCCCCGAGACAGGAACAGAGACAGTACCACCAGACCCCAGAGAGCTGGTGGCACGACCCCTACCTCTCTGCTTCCCTCGCTTACCGGAAGAAACAGACGAATCTGTCTTACGGTAAGTTGAGGGTAGCTTTGGAACAATGAAGTCCTTGCCCTGAGATTTTGACTGTGAACAAAGTTCACAAGGCGAAACCTCACTGCAAGGACGACACCTGGGACAGGCATCATGAGGGTCCCGTTCCACAAAGAAATGGGAACACCCATGAGCACTACCTCGTCGCTGTCCCGACCGAGACATACCCTCCAAAGCGAACGTAAACAAAAAATTTACAAGCAGATAAAACGGGAAAATAAGGATAAAATACGATAGTACAAAGTACGCAACGTAGAAAGAATTTCACCCGTAATATAAATCAGAAAACGGTTAAAATAAATAACGTTTGCCGAAACAAACAACCGTCACCGAAATAAACAGAGGTCGGAAATTAACCCACGATAATGGCGGACCGTGGCACACCACCGGCACACGTGGAGTAAAATAACCGGCCGTAAAAGGCACAAAAATAATTTTCAACAACAATTAGTTATATCAATAAAGGCAGATGGGTATAAGGCACACAAACTGCGCAAAAATATGAGTTGACACTCAAACCAAACCGACAAAACAATGTTTTGAATTGGAGCAAGCTCCGTGCGTCAGCATGCAGCAGGCGCCATAAAAGGAAGAGGAAGGGAGATCACTCCGTGGCTCTGTCATCGAGATAGAGGTTACGTCACGGTAGGGAGGTAGGGATATTTGAATCTTTTGTTTTTGGGCTACAAAGATGGGTGTAGGTATTGTATATGCATACTAAAGTTATGGTAATTATTACTGAAATGAAAAGGGCTGTTCTGTCAATGTCGTTTTAAGGACGACGCATATACAAAACGCAGTAAATAAATAAATCATTTAAGAACAAGTTAAAGAAATCAAAACTTATTCTATAGTAAAAATGTCAATATATGGATTGAACGGCAATTTTTAAAGTTCATGTCGGTATGAACGCAAATCAGTTTCATCCAGATTAAACTTGAATTCCTAGCGGACTTCATGCAATATTGATGTATTGATGTTCAAACCGGCATGGAAATTAAAAAAACTCCGTTTAATCCCCATATATTTTTTTGGCAACCTTTTGGGGTGAGATAGGGAATATTAACCCGAGGGAACAAAAACATTTGGCAATGAATTATTGTTTAAAAAAAACATTTTTCCTCGTCTTCAGTAGCATTTCTTTGCAACAGAATTAAAAAATAGAAAATATCAAAATGAATTCGAGTATGTATATTATGTAACAAATTGTCAGTTAATGGGATTTTTGTCAAAGCTTCATCCCTTCACAATTGTCAGATTATCATTATCAAATTATTACATATATAAAATGTATCATGCGTCATCGATTAATAACGAAGTCTAAATTAAAATAATCAGCGATATTTCTGTCGTAGGGAACTGATTTGGACTGGAGATGTATGATTAAGCTTTTTATTGTGTTTTCTTCAGCCTTTTGAAGAAATTTCCGTACGACATGCAACGAAGCATGGAAACATCCGTTTGTTGCGTGCGTTAGCAGCAAAGTCAAATGGAGGTCTCACCGACTTTAAACATACTTTTCCCTTGCACACCGCCGTATCGCTTGGAATGAAGAGAACCACGTCGTTTCTTCTACAATCTGGATTTGATTTGGAGGAGAGAAATGAGTTTAATCGGATTCCAACCCAGTGTTTCGATCCACGGAATGACAATGTTTTGTGTGAATACATAAGGAAAATAGATGGAACAGATGTTCCTCTGTCACCACCTAGCTCACATGAACCCAATGGTAAGTCCTAAGTTTTACAGAGAGTGTGAGTTGGTGCATAATTAAAATGCATTCAAACTTTTCTTTCTTTTTCATTCAGCATTATTGTATTTTTGAATTAAATATTCTGTTTTATGTATGAGTAATGACAATGAAACTATATTATGTACTTCCATGCCATAACCTGACATTTCTATTTCGTTATAGTTATCATCGTTGGTAAAGGCTCATGTCACGAGGAAACTGTCTGCATTGTCAACATGGAGAGAGTTGATTTATCTACAAGAACGGTTTACTGTCCCTCTGCACAGGTTACAAATCAAACTTTCATTTTTTTTTCGAAGGACCGGCGAGCTGTTGTAATGGCGCGGCGTCAGTCGTCCGTCAAGTTAACTTTAAAACGCTACTTGTCCTGAACGGCCCGGTAAATTTTGATTAATGGTCTTGGGCAGCCAAGGTAATTCTTTTAAAAACCTTTACAATCCTTCTTCTACCGAAGGGATATAGTGATTTTATCCTGATTAAGTCTAGAGCATCCTTGGACCAAGGGGACTTAATTGTGAAAGAACGTTTAGTGTGGACCCCCGGGGGCTGAGGGTTGGGCCGATTAGGGGAAGTAGAGGTAAACCTTTAAAATCTTTCTACTACCGTAGGGATAAAGGGATTTAATTTTGTCTGGAGCATTCTTGGGCCAAGAGGACTTAATTTTGTATAAGCAGTGGGTGTTGCCCCTCTGGGTGTAGAGGGGCGGGGCCTTAGATTGGAGTTTGAGGTTTAAGACTTTATGTAAACCGTGTGTTTGGACCCCTAGGGGCTGAGGGGCAGGGCCCAATTGGGGAAAAAGAGGTAAAACCTTTAAGATCCTCCTTCTACCCTAGGGATTAAGGGATTTTATCTCAATTTGGTCCGGAGCATCCTTGGGCCAAGAGGACTAAATGTTTTATAAACGGTGGGTGAAGCCCCTTTTGGTGCAGAAGGGTAGGGCTCCAAAGGGCAATTTGTGTTTTAAATCTTTAAAATACTTCTCCTCCTGTACCATTGGAGGATTTTTTTATCAAAAGTTGGCCTGGAGCATTTTTGGGCCAAGGGGACTCTATTTTGTAAAAACAGTAGGTGTGGCCTCTTTGGGTGCAGAGGGGCGGGGCTCAAAATGAGAATTTCAGGTCTATATTTTAAACTCCTTCTACTTCTGTACCATTAGAGGGATTTTATCCAAATTTGGTATGAAGCATCATTGGGCAAAGGGGACTACATTTGGTATAAACGTTTTGTGTGGCCCCTTTGGGTACAGAGGGGCGGGGCTCAAACGGGGAATTTCAGGTTTAAATCTTTAAAATCCTTCTCCTTCTTGCTATTGGAGTGATTTTATCCAAATTTGGCCTGGGTTATACTTTGGCAAAGGTATCTAAATTTTGTATAAATTATCTTATTAAAATTGTATATATAAGTACCTTAACCAAAATTACAAGAAATTGAGGTAATGTCATCTGGTCCTTCTGGGTGCAGAGTTGCCGGGCCTCATACGGTAACTTGAAGTTTTAGTCTTTGAAATCCATCTCCTTCTGTACCATTGGAGGGATTTTATGTAAGAAGAATCATTTCCCATGGTTCTTTTATTATTCAGGTGAGCCCCTTGGGCCTCTTGTCAAAGTTATGTTTAACCGCTTTTGCAATTAAAAGAATTTAGATGATTCTGTACTCTGTGTGAATTAAAAGACAAAATGTTTGTAAGCAAAATAGATTTAGTGACAGTGCTTACAAAGGACTTATTAAAATTTAAGAGGAATTCCGCCTCTTTATCAAGACAGTTTGTTTATGATTTAGGTTCAAATCGTTTAAGATCTAATTGACAGTTAACGTCATTTAGGGACATGCCATTATGCGCTAATGTATGCTTGCGTATGTGTATGTATGTTGGAGGCAGGGTATGTTGGTGTACTTGCCTCTTTCCGATAGCACAGGTCCGATACCGTTTTTAGAGTGCTCACTCACTGACATAACATGCTGCTGAAAGCACCATACAGATTATTTGACCCGATCACATAATACTTACAACGGGGTTAATCAGTTGTTGACATTACCTCCATTTCTTGTGATTTGGTTAGGATACTTATAAATACAGTTTTAATAAGATATTTGTAGGGATCTCATATGTCTTAAGGCGCAAAAAGAAGGAATTTTTGACATGTAATTTCGTCAAAAGAGACCAATTGCAATTTCGTCCCCTTCTTGACTCCCTCATATCCCAAATGGTCTCCAAGATAACCTTAATGTCCTGTCATACAGTTAGATTTACGCCCATGTATCCACCTAGGTTCAGTTCGTTCTGTGTGCGGCTTGAGTGCGGTTAGCGGTAGTCTAGCGTCAAGAAAGCGATCGTTCACCGTTCGATCACCGTTCGTAATTTTCGTCTGTTTCGTTCGTATCAGCTAAATCGTTCCGTTCGGCCGTCCCTCTCGTCCAATTATTTCATTGGGTCGTTTAGTTCTGTGGACAATTCAATGTGATTAGATTGTATTTAAAACTACATGTTTTTCTTATAAAAAATTCTACATTATAATATATATTGAAAGAGTGTAGAGTTATCGAGGCAAAAAAAATGTAGTTGATCAATAAAACTAGTGGTGTGCAGGTATCTGGCCTGAGGGATAAAAATCGAATAAGTGTATATGTGTTTTTTTTCTTCTTCGAAAAACTACTCCGTACTGAACAGATTCTCGTGAAATTGTAGTTCTTGAAAAATAGTTAAATTTTGATTTGAGATAAAAGGATCTTGACCTCCATATTTGAAAACATATCAAAGTGCACCTTTTGTTAGGCAACATAATACATATTAGATGATAAAACAGTACCTATTTACAACAAGATCACGATATTTTTTTTTATAGAAAATCGTTTGATTAATGCGGCATAGTGTTTCATAGTAATATATATATATATGATCTTAATAACACCATTTTATGACATAAAAAGAATTAATATAGTGAGACTGATTATTATATTTCTAACTGCTTAAGTCGCATGTATATGTTTATATGATAAAACGAATACGTTTTAGGAAAAAGATGGTTAAGTTTATGATTTTAGATTTCATTTCAGATAGATTATGAGATACTCTACCGGTGTATGATTGCATGCAACTCAACTCAAATAATTTAATAGTGAATGGCTCATTTTATAGTGTTGATAATATGTTTCAAGATGTGTTTATTTTATTGTTGATTAATGCAATAAATTGATACGGAAATAGATAAATATCAAGTCTCCCCATTATGTCTGTACTGATTAACCACAAAGTTAAAAGAAAGAGAGAATGAAGTAATGAAGGAAACACGGAGTCCGATCCTGCCCCGATCCATATCAATAAACAATACCCTTATTTCGCTACAATTCTTTTATCAAATATATCATATACCCGATATTCATAATTAAATAAATATATATATATACATATAAGTTAATTCGATCCTGCCGCGATCATGTTATTGCAATTCTTTTAATAATTATTTTGTGAAATTAACTGAATCAGATCTTCATATTGGCAAATACTGTTGAAAACATAACCAGGTTTTATTTCGCAACACAAAACACTAACGTCACTGTACCCAAATCGGGACACTATTTAGATAAATATCAATGTTCTGTATACCATACTATCAGTTCTGAGTTTCCGCCGTCTCTGACATCAGACTAAGACAGTTTGGCAGATAGATGTCTGGTTTGGGACCAGAGCGCACTAATTACTATGTATATGAAAACGTAAAATTGTCCGAAACCGTTTGGTATCGGAGAGTTTTAATTGAGGTGCTGACAACAAAAATCTACTACGGCACAACACATACCTCACATACATCGATAAATGGATTATTTATTGATCGAAATCCGTTCTTATTAATACCAACAGCTGCTGAATTCCGCTAAGAAAGTCCTCGAATTGCAATGGCGTTCACTCAGGTGGGAAATTTTGAACGATTGAAATTCGTAACCCGGCGTCCTGACACGTATAGGACATACACATAAGAACGATTATTACTTACAAAATCTGGCCTTAATTCATTGCTAATATGATATGGTATGTCATGTAACAAACAGGCATATTTACGATATTAAAAAAATACACAATGTGGTAGGACAATTCTTCCATGAATATTGGCACGGACTACGTGATTCCGTGGTTATGGTTACAATTCGCTAGCAATCATGTATTTGAATTTAAATCGTGTCGTAATTGTCTAGGTATACATATACATTTGTGGTCATTCAGTTATAACATAGATTAAACGACCGCTCTATTCAAACAAATATGTTGTAGAAATCGTATCATTGACTAACATTTTAATCATAAGAATAAGAGAAATGTTATTCTTAGACTGATCCGACATTATTCAAAATAACACGGCTTTATTAGTTTAGTTACGGACTTAAATATATCTTGTGGGTGGTAAGTACAGGTGTAATTGGGCACTAGTACCGGTTGTTTGTTTGTTTTAGTAGATTAACGTCCGTTTCACTACGAGTGGTTCGGTTATCCAGACGACTACAACTAGTTACGTCCCGTGAAAGCGGCTGCATTGTTCGTTCGTTCGATCCGCCGCTATCGGTCGATAGCGGCCAGGTATCATCAAGCAGTTTATCGGCCGGTAGCGGTAACACCGGTCATATCGGTACGCTTGCGTTCGTATCGGGTTTGTCCTGCGGTCGTATAGCGGCTCGTCTCCGTTCGGGAATCGTGCGTCCTGCGTTCGTGCCACAAAAAGTGGATACTTGGGCGTAATTCTAACTGTATAATAATTGCATTACCCCATGGTATGTAGATAGCCACCAGAAGGGCAAAATGTGCACCCATCCTTTGGAAGGCAATTGACAAAATCCTTATGAATGGACAAATACAGCCAATTTGGAAAGGAAAGACGTGTCTTAAGGTTCCCATAGATGTTTCGATCGATATTTTAAATTAACAATGTTTTATGTCAAGTCCTTATATAACAAAATTAATGTTAAGTTCGACTTTTTATATTCACAGTTCCGATCAACTTTCAAGGACAGAGACCCATCAAGACAAATGTTTTTTGTCTCCCCTTTCCTTTCCGAATACAGCATGGTCTGTACCTATCAAATGTTCGGTTTGCTTTGGCTCCTTGGGAGATACCATGCAGAGGACTTCCTTAAATGCTTGAACGATATAGTCCTTCCAGAGAAAAACATCCTGCGATGCAAAGATGGCAGCACGGGCGTTATCGATTTCTGTACTTGGATCAAAAGCAGAGAGGTGGAACATAAAGACCACGACAACGAAAGTAGTATGGGTAATTTCGTTTATTGAAAACACTACAATGCCTCTTATTGGTCGTGCACTTAATCGTCTGTAACGCTATAAATGAAGAAAGAGGTCATTCTGCAATAATCATATTGTAGACAATTTATTGAAATTACTCATTGCTTTATGCTTTTTTATACGGTGCATACCTAATTTGATACGGTATCGAATGAAATCGGTGTTTTACGCACCCCCTCCCCTTCCCCAACCCAAAACCCCTAACCCCGAAAAATATCGAGGGGGTATGACAGTCTCTCGGGTGTATTTTTGTCCGTCTATTTACCTGTCTGTCCGTAGTGCTTGTCCAGACGATTACTTCAGAACGATTGATCATACACATTTAAACTTGATGTCTGGTTTGCCGTAGAGAATGCAAAGAATGTAAGAAGAAAAGCTAAAATAGAATTATTCTTGAGTAGGTTTGTTCGAATAAATAATTTGAGAAAGAATAATCATACAATGTCCAAATTTGGTATGAGGATTGCCCTTGTGCTAGGAATATAATAATTATGCTTGTCCTGAGGATAACTTGGGTAAAGGGTGATCAAACAAAGTTCAAATCGGGTGTGTATATTGCTTTTCGGAATACAAAGAACACTATTTATTTTTTAGCGTGGGGTACCAGAGTTCAAGATCATAATTGCAAAAATAGAATTCTGCTTGGTTGGAATTAACCTGATAATACGTTGAGAACGAACGATTATAAAAACTTCATATTTTGGGTTTGGCTGCTTTAGAGACAACAAAGAATCTGTTGACTTTGGTCAAGGTCAAGGTCACCGTTGCTAAAAAAGGAAATCTGTTTTTTTCCGGATGTAATCTTACAACGTTCAAGTTTGGTGTGCGAGTTGATATAGTAAATACACATAACTGTATTTTAATTAGGCATTGTGCACCAGAGGTCAAGGTCAGCATTGCTAAAAATGTAATTTTGCTTGTTCAGACGATTGCTTCAGAACGAACGATCATACAAAGTTCAAACTTGTGGATTATATAAACCCTTTTGATTTTGGGTGTGGTCTATCAGAGGTCAAGGTGGTCATTACAAAAAATGCAATTTTGATTCGTTGTGTTTGTCCCGATAATGACTTAAAAATGGGGCGGGCAATTAGATGTCAATGTCACCATTGCTAAAATAGAATTCGCTTCTCTGAATTGTTTAAATCTTTCACAACTTTTATTTGTCATTTTATCTAATGAATTATTTTTGGTATTTTCAAGTTCTATGGTTTAACAGATTGTCATATTTATCTTAATTCTAGAAAAATTACCCGGTTGGATTCGCGCGCTACTCCAAAAGACATCTGAATCCGTGCGTGCGGATAAGATTCGCTGTGATGGATGGACGCCGATGCATTACGCTGTCCTGACACGCAATGATGAACTCGTCAAACAATTGCTAAACTCGGGGGAGGGACATTTGACAAACAAGGCACATTCGTTGCTCCCTGAATTTATCCTTGACCAACTAAAAAGAGAAAGCCGTTTTGAGTATGAGTTTGTTTACAGTCACATAGAAGGATTCACGCCTCTAATGCTTGCAACATTCACAGAAAATCAAACGGCGATTCAACTGATTGGTCAATGTATTGAAACATTGAACATGTTCAACGGAAAAGATATCGTTGATTGTCTCGAGTTAGCATATTGTGAGGACACGGAAAGTAATCTTCTTGACGTCCTTTGTCGGAAAGGTGAAGAACATTTGAAGCAAAACTATCATGTTGAAGTCAACTTACAACCCTTTTACCGAAAGAAAAACCCGTCGAGAAGGATACTGTTTGCTTCCTCAACAGATGTGCTTGAGACAATTGAAGAGGATTTCGTCGCTGCCAAAATCATAGTTGAGAACAAAGCTATCATCAACGAATATCTGAAAACGGGTACCACAGCCGAGGTTCCCGAAAAAGAAGATAAACTTTTGGCAGAAACGATACGGCTTCACTCGGATAGGTTATGGAAAAGACACAGTTCGCTTAACGCTATTTTGCCAGGACACGTATCGTCACTTCCAGATACATGCAAAGGGTATCACAAGTCGATCATGGTTGTCTTTCATAGCATTGACAAGGAATTGATTCCTTCATCTGAACTACCCTTCCAAGAATATTTGTTAACCAATGGACAACAAGTATTAGTCCACGTTACAGAGGGGTCATTCAAATTTGCTCCAGCAACGGAACGAACGGCGCAGGTAGGCCGTAGTATTGATTACGAAAAAGTCCGTGCCACGCTAGGAACATTTGTTGAGGGTTCTCAAAAGCAAAAAGGTATGTTGACTTGTGGTCATACCTTCCTAAAAGATTTTTTAGACAAAAATGATTCTTCTTATGACCGTACATTTGATACAAACACTTCATCAGAAGTCCTCAGAGTGTATAAAGTTGAGGAAAAGCGCCTGAAAATTTATAATGAAGACAGGACATCTGCAGATGATAACAACACAACGAAACCTACCGCTGACGATGCAATGGAAATTACGTATCCGCATGGGTTCGTACAAGAAATGTTATGTTATTGTATTGTTACAACTCTCTAAAAAAAACCCAGTTACAACCATTTTTTAAGAAACCTCTAATAGAGTTTGCATTGAGTATTCAAACTATGCGTAATACTCCAGTCAGCTGGGGTTTTTCGACTATGGCTAAACAATATGCCATCCATTAATTGTATGACAAGGTCAAATTACTTCCACCTTCTTAAACAAATCATGGGAAAGGAAAAAAACAAAAACCTTCTAAACAACAATTTAATTTAATTTAATTAAACGGATTTTGAATTTCACGTTACTACATTCAAGTTTTTGTTATTTACAGTGGCAGTTGTGGATATGTGAAAAGATTGCTATTTCGGCCAGACAAGGAGGTTGGTATAGACGCAGCTCTTATCCAGTTTCACGATGACGAAACATTCACTATTGGTCCACATCTGCACCTTGAGCATTCAATGGCCCAACAACAACTGGAAAATCAAGGTATCTATATCGTAGGGGACAATTGTATCATGCTTAACGAATGGAAATATATTTTTGTCTAACAAATATAATGCTGATTAAGATAGATCATAATGAGCTATTTTGTCTTTTTTTGATCGGCACTGAATATTTAATTTATATTACTGGTTACAATATAGTCAATCTTTGCCAAATGACTACACTGTAGTTTATTTGTCCTTGTGTGATAATACTGATGTATATTTTCACCAATATGTTGCGCTGTGGTAAATTAGACCCGTGTTGGTCGATTTTGTGGTATGTTATATCCTGCACGCGTACATGTACACAACACGCATGGAAATACGTCCTTAAATGACCTTAGCTGTAAAAAGAACATTAAACAAATAAAACCAACTATTATATCCTAGTGGGTTGATGAGGAGGTATATTATAGTCTAGTGTGTTAATAATGTGGTATATCATATCATAGCCTATTGATACTGTGGTATAGTATGTTCTAATGTGTTGACGATGTGCTATATAGTATTCCAGTGTGTTGGCGATGTGGCATATTATGTCCCTAGCGTGTTGATATTGTGATATGTTATGTCCTAGTGTGTTTATGTAGTCATGTCTTCCAAATATCATAAATATACATATATCGGTGTATATTACATATTGTATTCATAATTGAGGTTAATCATACGAAGACCTGCCTTACAGGCCAAAGCCTTTTTTTAATTTTCTCTTTTTCTTGTGTTTACATTTTGTTAGGGATTGTGATTCGTGTCTTTTCGTTTCCTCCAAATGTGTCGACCTTACGTGTTGGATTATTCTTTTCAACGTTAATTACATGAAGCTTGTAATATTTCATGAATAACTTATTTTTCAAAATTACATTAATTTCAGGTATTCAAAACATGGATTACCTGCAGTTCAATAACGGCGAAGCATTTGAATGTACAAGACCTGTCCGTGTCCTAAAATGTGGCATTGGAACTGGTTTAACTTATGGAGTCATTCCTTTCGAACGTTCAACGGGCCAAGTTAGAATAAGCGACGATAACTTCGAGCCTATGGGATTCAGCAACAGTAAATCAAAACACATAATGAAAGGACAGCTTGTGGTAAAACCATTGGTACAATCGACAACATTCTTTGCTCAAGGAGATTCGGGATCTGCAGTGTTTCAAATGGGGCCAGGTTCACCAGGTTCGCCAGGTTCGCCATTGAAGTGCATTGGAATGGGTATTGGATATATGACGAAGAGCACCGACACGCTTGTAACTCCAATTCGTTCGGTTTTAGAAGCGGTATCGGAGGGCCAGGAAACCACGTACACACTACTGACATCATTCGACATCCCTGCCGCAGATGAAGGTGATTCTTAAACAGTTCCCTGCTTGGAGATATCTCAGAATTAATCGAGGATTAATGACTCAGCCAATAGCTTGTTCAAAGATAAATACGTGAAGTACGCGTGATAGTAATAGCAATTGGTGGTGTGAAAGGAGCTCAGCGTTATCAATGATATACAAACAAGAAATTACTCTTCATTATTTATGTAAATATGGATGCATAACTTCCTTTTGTATGAATAATACATCATATTTTTTATTTTATTTTTCAAAGCATACCTATTAAATGTATAACCCTAATTACCCGTCTATGCTGACTATTTGGTGAAGTTGTTTTTTTTCTCTTTTTTATATTAATATTTAAATGTGTTCTTCATGTTCTATTTGGGTTTTTTGCACCTAAATTCAACATGTTTTCTTAGAATGATAAATAATGAGCAGAGACCGTTTTATAAATAAACTAAATGCTACTCTTGTCACAAATGATAGATTGGAGTGAATAAGTAAAGCCATAACAAACTGACGTATTATGTTTAGGCAAAATCAGACATAGCGATTGGCAGTCAGCATACACAAGTAAAATGCATCAATGAGATGCTTGGGTGGCCAGGTTTGATACCGAACAGTAAATAAAAACGCTTAACGCACATTAATGCATGCCAATCAATGTTCCTGTGAAGTATCTGGCCAGTAGTTTCTGAGAAAAAAGTCCGGAAACCATTTTTCGGGAAAAAATCAAACATAATCTTGGATATGAATGTAACTATTTTTTTGTCAGGTATTTGTAAAGTCCGTTAAAATAAAGTCCTGATTTCAGATCAACTATTAACCGTTACCGTTTGAGTATTTATAGAAATCAAACCAAAAAACGAAAAGAAACCATCACCATTATTTTCTGCTAAGTCCATAGCTATTACAGAATCTCCAGTCTATCACGACATGACCAGAATTTAATATTCAGTTACATAATATTATGTACGTGCCCTCTAGCTGATGTGATAGAAGTGCAAATACCACGAACGACTGCTTACAAGCTTAGGTGAACAGTAAGTAACACAAACTGCTATGAGTTATGTCATATTTACTTGCTTTTGTTACCAATACCTATAGTATACCTATATAATACCTATGTAATAATCATGTGTGTAAAGATATACTTACATTAATCAAATATTATAAATATGAAAACGTAAACATTGAAACTTACATAAACACTGTTCAGTAGAAAGTTTACTATATACATACAGATGTATACAGCTTTCTGTATTATCATATATAATACTGGAAGAGGGAGTATCAACAGTGACATATATCCAAGTAATACATATCTAATAATCATGTGTGTAAAGATATACTTACATTTATCAAATATTATAAATATGACTACATACACAGTGATATTCATATAAACACTTTTTACTAGAAAGTTTACTATACACATACAAATGTACATACAATGTAGCTGTCTGTACAATTATATTTAATACTGGAAGAGTGAGTATCAACAGTGACACATATCCAAGTAATACATATCTAATAATCATGTGTGTAAAGATATACTTACATTTATGAAATATAATAAATATGACTACATAAACAGTGTAACTTATATAAACACTATTTACTAGAAAGTTTACTTTATATATACAAATGTATGCAGCTGTCTGTATTATTATACTTAATACTGGAAGAGGGAGTATCAACAGTGATACATATCCAAGTAATACATATCTAATAATCATGTGTGTAAAGATATACTTACATTTATGAAATATTATAAATTTGACATAATAAACAGTGTCACTTATATACGCACATACACATGTTAATATTCAACTGTCAATATTATTATCTTATTCACTTTTTAATTCATAATTAATAAATTCGAACAATAAAATGAATTAGCTTAGTAATGCACTACCAGATAATCTTAATGATCCATATAGAGGGCTATAGCTAATCCTTCAAAAAAGTAAAACTACAAGATCCATACCGTGAATTTTTTATATATATATATGTCTATGTTAATTGAATGTTTAGCACTTTTTTGTTTGTGTGTGTTGCCGTATATACATATCCATACATGTAACTCTTATGCATGTTTATGTACATTTGTCTTTGATACAAGAATGAAATGTTTAAATATTAAGATGTAAGTTCCCTTTCCGCGATAATTGGCCATGGCTAAAGGTTCTAAATCAACATCCATAATGCATGGATGCAGCATCGAGAACAGGAACAACTACTTATACAAGGCACTGATCCACCACTATGCCATCTGATATTTACCTTCATATATACATGTATATAAACCTTATTTAATAATGCAGAATTAAATGGATATATAATAATTGGCAATTCTTTTGAGTGAGTGAGGGAGTGTGTGTGTGTATGAGTGAGTGCCAGTTTGTGTAGGAGTATACGTGTGAGTAGTTATATATTTTTTGTCATGTAACCAAATAATAAGTTAGATTTGTTTTGTATATTTTGTATATTCTGTTGTGTGGTCAGTTGCTGCCCCCTGTCAGTGGGACCGTTGGTGGTCAGTGTGATATATGGGGACGAGGCCGTTACATTTGTCTACCATGTACCATGCTGGCCATCTGTGGATTCACGGAGGGGGACAGATACTGACTAGGGAACATAATCACTACATTGGGAATAGAATGATAATGGCGTCGAGCTCCACGTGGTGACCAAGAATCAACTTGCCAACTATAAATCTCGTGTTATATCTTGCATCCTATGTTCTTCATCAAGTAATCCCTCTGCATTCTCAAGTAGATTTATTCTCTAGTTGAAAGTCCAATTATATGTGAATGAAATCCTTCTTAAAGTTAAAATCCCGAACCACGGCATTTAAAATAATAATAATCACGGTAACAGCGATGCTTTACTTATCTGTATCAGAATCCACTTCTGTGGGGTAAGGGAGAGAAATCCAATTACGCATATACGACTTAAATAACTTTAATTAACGGGTCACTGCGTGGTAGCTCTGGCCGATGACTTTTGTCCTAGATGTAGATTTTTTTTTAAAAATCATTTCACAATAAATATATTATAATATACATTGTCCATACAATAGGAGAGGGCTTGAATAGGCATTACGCCTGTTGCCCAATTCTTGTATTTGTATAAGATGCAATTGTTTCCTGACACATTCCATTTCCCTCTGAGGAATTTAACTCGTTTTTGTAAATGATAAAACTATATTATTTCAGTAGTACTTATTGTACATTGTGATAGAAAGATTTAATGTAAACTAGTGTTTTTTATATTTGATGTTTCATCTACTTTGTTTCGATGTGTCATATATATACCAGCTATATTTTTTTAAATGATTTCTATGACATATCGGTTATATGGGAAGCGGGACGACTGTAAGACGCAATAGGTAACACGCAAACTCTCTAAGTTCGATACAAATATTTGTTTTCAGGGTTATACATTCGCTTTATTATCATTCAACAGCAAATCTGGGTATCGCTGGTATGAACTGTCGTTTTATCAAAATAATATAAGTATTATTGCTTTCTAAACGGGATTTATTCTTCAAAAAATACCAATGTTTGCTTTGTCTAAAGTACAAACCAGTAACCAGCTGTGATACGTAAGTAGCAATCATCTGAATGACGCTTTATTCTACGCGTATTAGCAATATAGTTTGTCATAATTGAGAGATTAGATAGCAGCAAGAAGTAAATGTTGTGCATGTGTGTACAGGTACAGATATAAGGGGTCTATATTTAGGAAACCCGGATTATACGACTCCATTCTGTTAAAGCTGATAGCCTTTTTTGTAGAAGTAGAATGACGTTTACCTGAACTGAGAGAGGTCAAAATAACTGCGAATATTTGTTCAAATATTACAATGTTTACATACAAAGCGTCAAGAGATGGTCCGTTCGAGTGTATGATAGACAGATAATTAGATAATTGCATGGTCGTAAAAGATTCCCCTTCCAAATCCCCCCCCCCCCCTCCAGCTACTTTTGACTGCAGACTGACCTTTTTATTGGCCCTGTCATGCTAACAATTCTACAGCTTCTTTTGGCTTGACCCTCTAACCCTCCTCTAATCAGTTGGCCAATGATTAACTGTGATGAATTCTTTGTTTTTCCTAGGCCACAAATCATATAAAAACATGCATATAATATTAGCTTTCGTTCCCGCTTTAACTTCCATATCATGTGTAAAATGTAAAAAATTAGAACAACGATGCGAAGTTATATTTCTGTGAAAAGAAAAGTAATTAAATAAACAATAAAATTAACTTCGCATCGTGACCTAATATTGCTGTTTTTGTAAAATTTTAAATTACCTATTGTGATTTTGAACACAAGTTGAACATCTTATACTAAAATCTTGTCCTTGTGCCCTTATCTAAACAGGTCCAACATAATTCTAAATTTGTTTCCTTTGATATTGTTAGTGTATGCGATGGTTACTATAGTTGTCCTTACATATGCAACCTTGGTGTTTAGATACCCAAAAAAACTCTTTGTTCTAAGAGTGAAACAAAATTTGAGGGAAAACCATATTGACTTGATCAGAAACAGTTTTTAAGGTTTCTTGATGATAGTTTGTTATATAGCCTTCTGATGAGGATTAAATTAATTTCAAAATTGATATGCAGTCATCTTGAATTTCGGTCGTTAAAGTTTGTTCGTCTATTTCTCAGAAGGAACTGAATAGATATTTTTCAATTCCACTTCAACAAAGATGGCCGACAATGGCCATCTTGAATGTTGTTCATCTGTCATTGACAGCACTTCTAATTATGTGAGAATTACACATTTTCAAAAGTTTGCATATAGTTATGGAATTCGTATAAAACAACAATTGTCTTAGTTGCAATTAACGTTTGTCATTGGGAGATTTAAAATAATTTAAATGAATTACATCCGCTAGGATTTCCAACATGGGATTTGGTAATAGTACATGTTAGGAAAATAAAGAGCAAAGAAGGTAAAAGATCATCTTTTGTAAAAATGAAAAAGATCCGTCAATGGTTGGCGCCAAAATCCTGCAAGGATCTCTTGTTCAAGTTATTTTTGTAAAAGATAGTGGACAGACGACAATGAACAGTAGACAGAGACGACACCAATACTTTTGTATTATTTTCGCAAATAAAAATATAAATCATTCACAAATGTTTTTTTTTATGTATATATTGTACAGCCCACAGCTTTTGCGTTCAAAAGCAATAAGCGTATCTATCATTGAATACTCATATATTCCGGAAATATTTGTCCGGTGTACGATGCATCTTTATAGATATCAACTTTACTATATAATTTTTGTTAATAATAAAATTTGAATAGCTTGTTTTCTAATTATATCAGAAAGCCGTACACACGACATGTGCATTTATGTTGACAGTGTTGATTAATATATACGTAAGAGATTAACTTAAAACAGGTATGCTAAAAACTGTGCAAAAGGCAGCTGATACAATCTAAAACCGGCACTGTAATGAATTCGCCGAAAGGTGTGAACAAAATATATAAACTACACGTCCTTAAATGACATTAGTTGTTGATAGGACGTTGAACCCTGTTAAAACCAACCAACTACACATACAAAGACAGCTTAGAGCCTGTTCATATGTACATTATTTGGGAATACACACAAGGGTAAGTTATTAAAGTATATAACGATAGATAGTAACCAAATTTCTTCACTTTTGTACCAAATACAGAGGCAGCACAATCCCATGATAAATCGGAATGTTGATCTTCCATTATATGTGTCCTCTGCATTGCTTTCAAAATTAACAGCTTCCTATTGAACACTATTTTATGACGGAGAAGAGTATCACAATTATAAAATGAAAGGATTCTTCTTTTTTGTAAATGACTCGGAAACAATCTATAATGTATCACATATCTTGCCCAACTACCGAACTTTCCTTCATCAAAGGAAATTATTTTGCTCTGTTCCCACTGGAAAGCATAACTGATGTTTAGGAAAATATGTAAGCAAAGAACAATTTCATTTACTCCAGCAATGCTGTCAAATGGAGAAAAAAATGGTTCAATATTGTGCATGCAACCTTAGGCCAGTCTTTCTAATACAATCATAAAAAACCAGGCACAAAATTAAAATATATAGCATTACACAGAAAAATAGTTTCGTAATAAATTAATGGGTATTATGATTCATTGGGAGAGTTTCCCCGGGATTGCTGTTCAAACCGAGAGCAGAGCAAATTAACTAGAATCATCCGTATCAAACTTTTAATAAGCATTAAATAATAAATTTCAGGACAACCACATTTGTAGGTTATTTTAAGACAGTAATACAGAACTAGGTTTTTCGAAGCATGGTTAACTTAAAGCATCAATAATGCATTTTTTTTAAAAAATATTATTAAATATCAATGTCTTTATTTTTACAATTATTATTTTTATCTCTTCTCTTCAGTAGGTCGTTTAGAATAAATAAAGATGCAAATTTACTCATGATGTTTCATCTTTTGGAGAGAAAAAAAAGAATTATATGCTTGTGTAAAATTGTCGTAGGGAGTAAAATAGCTTCCTGTTAATTCGCATGGAGATCAGATTTGAATGTAAAATATATCAGTATTCATTCATAAAAACTTAACAATTAATGGTTATAACTTTAATTTGGGATTGAAATCATCGCAAATATGCCATTTGAAGTACAACAGCGAAGAGTTTTATCCGCAAAAATGAGGTGATTTAACATTATATCATAAAATACGTTATCGTCTCTATGCACAATGTCAGTCGTTATAGATATGTATGCTAAGGCATGCTATTGTTGGTGGTGTCATGTACATGTATCTTCCAAAACGACAAAAAAGTGCATTAAAAACTATGATTATAAATGGTGATTTTGACGTTGAAAATTAATCATCTTACCACATATACTTACATGTAACTGATGACTCATTTAACAAGATCCTTTGACCACGAGTTTATCTGGTAACCATACATAGTGAATATAAAATTATTTAAAAAGTCTAAAGAAGTATGACCTTCCGGAGGTCTGGTCATATTATTGTTCAGCTCCAAGTACGGGTTGGCAGTAGAACTCTTGTTGTTATCATATAGCCTTAATTTAACTGTCACTAGGGACCGTTATCACTTCATTTAATGACAAGGCCCAGCACAGCCGAAATGTATTGGTGTTTATAAAAGACATTCTTTATTGAGGATACTTCCACATGGTCCTCTTAGTCTAACACCTCATGTTTCACCACCTTTCTGTATTGTTTTTATACTTTAAGTGAAAGTAGAAAAGGGACTATTTAAAAAAAAATGTCAAATTAATTTTTGCTTTTTGCAACGTTATAATTCGGATTTATTGAAATCTAAGCTATCACACAACCTTATTTAACCAGTGCAAGGTGTTGCCACCGTATGTAACATATTTGGCCACTACAAGATATCTCGACCAGAAGGATCAGCCGTAATCTGGACATACAAGTCATTATAATGCAGTTTCAATTCCTCTTATTGAGTGTGCAATAGAACAAAGTTCAAACATGGATCATTTATAATTACACGAGCTTGTAGTAGTATCAGAATCCGACTGGCTGGTTAGATACGTAACACCCAGGTAAGGCTTTACTGAATGACTGGAGGGCAAAACTAATTCAACAATGCGATTGACAATGAGCATTAGCCCGGACTGAAGACTTGTGTTTAGTAGGGCAAACGGATTTAGTGCTGGTTAACTAGGCCTAGATACAGGTACATCAGATTAGTTTTATTTTTGGTTTTTGTTTTGTTTAACGTCTTATCAACAGCTAAGATAGTTTAAGTACGTGCCTCCGTGTGTGTTGTGTATGTGTGTGTGTGTGTGAGCAGTAGAGACAGTGTATTTAGGTCCTTATGTGTGTAACGTCATATCTTTACTCCCATATCTCGCATCGTCAGGTATTTGCAATAATACAAACATCAGATCTAGAATTACAACATCACACTTTAAATAAATAAATCAACATGAAAAATATTCCCATCACGTACTATTTCATCATTGGGTCTTATTCACAGAGCAGGGATGTTACGGTAGCAGGGCTGCACACAGTATCATCGATCGGTGACTCTGCAGTGGGAGACGCAATATATTAATCAACGATACAGAACACAGGTACATTGTATGCATGGGGAAACTATTTAACGACCTAATTCTCGAAATTCACAAGTGAGCAAGGTAAACTCAACTGTAATTTTATCAGAAAATCCTATCAAAACATTTCGGTGCAAGTTTGATGCTACCCATGGCTATATTTTGTATACGAGATTTACGATTCAAGGGAGACAACTGTTACACAAATTGATAAAATATCCAGGATGCAACTCGTAACCGGTTACAACAGGATGACACCGGAAACATGTTGTTTGATACAGGAAGATCACAAACTACATACCGCTTGACCAGTATGTGTCACGAGAGTAAGGTATGTCCATCACGCTATAATATTTTTATATTAAAAAAACATTTTGATCTAAAATCTTTGTTAGAAACGCGATTTGTCAAATAAAGACTTCTGCACAAATTGTGCTGCAGTTCTTACACCATATAAATCGTTATATTCAGGAATAGAATAATATAGGTTAAGTATATGCTTTGTAATGATACTGATTATAAGAAATATATATATTAGTTTCAGTTTAGGATATCCAATTAGATGAATTATTTCATTATTTAGTATATATATATTTCTATGTTAAGTATATACTAACCGAAAGTAGTTCGCTAATATCTGTCTTATTATTTTGTAATTATGTGTTATGCGTCCTCATATTAGTCTCAATGTAATTGTAATACATGTAACATACCCTGATTGCCTTTTCGCGTTTTTCGTGATTATCATCATATTTATATATAAAACGAAAGTAGTTCCTAGTTAGAACGGATTCGAGTGAAATTTATTACCCCTGGGTATGCCCTAATAACCTTACATTCTTTAAATAGCCACAATGCACTGCGATCGATAGACAAGGGGTGTATTCAACCTAGGGGTGTGTAGAGGCAGGGTATGTTGTTGTGATTTTTTAATTGTGTTTGACATATTCACAATATTCGTAATAAAGTAATAGCACATTACGAGTGAATACAAGCTGCGACAGGCTTAACCAATACAAAGTAATTCCATATAGTAACAACAACATTTAAGAAATTGTCATAACATTTTAAGCGCAGGATAAATGGACTTATTTTAATATAATCTTTAACCGGGAAATACTTAATTTCTGATTTCATTTATTTTATAGATACCTTACCTTGCTAGATTGTTAATTACTCTTCTGTACTCGTATGAAATACTTTCTGCATTTGTTCTCATTATTGGCGTGATGGAGTTTTTCCTATATAAAAATAGTGCTATTTCAGACTGTAACTGGCATTCTATGACAAAACGGTATTTGACTTCAATTTGAGTAATACAACAGTGCATTTCTGGAGGTATGGTGTTAGGTGTTTCCGCTTATACATAAAGTAAATGTGATACAATAGAGTCAGTATAACGTTTTTGAAACGTTTTATACAAATTATATAGAGTTATTTCTTGTAACCGAATTCGTCATAACATCTAGCTTTGGGCGGCTCGTTAATTACCCCGTGTCACATCTATATATGGTATATCCTACCCGTCACTAAAACAACACTTAAAACATCAATATCACCAGCTTCCTGTTCAACATTCCTGCCAACATTAGTTTTTAAGAAATTAAGAGAGAATGTCGTCAAGACCACCTAATTGCTCCATATTTATTTATTTTATTTGTTGAAATACTTGCTTTTATTTTACTATCACAATATGCAGATGACACTTTAGTTTTTTAGATGGTACAAGAATATCTACGAAAGAGATATATAATGAACTGTATGGCTGTGCAAACATTCCTGGATGAAAAATGAATAATGGCAAAACACCAAATGTTTTGATTCGCAGTAAACAGTAAAGTAAAAACACATTATTTCTAAACTTGAATTAACAAAGGGGAAATACAACATTTACAGGTTTAGTATTTTCAAAATAACTATCTGGTACAACAATTCAATTAAGATAGAAAATAGGAGTATTTTACAGGGAATGGTATATAAAAGGGGAAATAAAACGTATGGCTTAGCTCAAGGAAATGGCAATGATACGTTTTACAATTATCAAGAATTTATAGAGAAATTAAACATTAATACAGATTTTCTTACATACTAGGGTATCATTAACTTTATAAAAAATCATAACGCATGAATATATCGCATATATTCCTAGTATGAATATACTTTGCAGTGGGTGTTTACATTTATGTGTATGTGATCATGTATGCATCTACATTATGTATATATTGTGCTCAATTAGATATAAGATATCTGTGTTGTTTGATTTATAAAGTTGGTTCGAATATTTTGCTTTATTGTATTTTGTTGTAAGCTGTGTCAGATTAACAAATATTGATTATAAGTTCAAGATTCGCTTATCCTGTTATTCCTACCTAACTAATTGGTCCATATAGCACCATCGGTTTCCCTCCTTTACCTTGTAAGGTTTTTCACCGAATGAGCGAAAGGACCTATAGGTCGTATTATACAGTTTATAGTGGTAATAATAATAAAATTATATCCTCATTTGTATCCATCTGTTAGGCTTTGTACAGTCTAAGGACGGCGTACTCCTTCAGATTGTACATCCCCCCCCCCCCCCCCCCCCCCCCCNCGACAGTGTGGACAAGTTTAGGTTGTCAAATTTTCGGAGCGACCCGCTCCTTTATCAAGACACAGTGAAACAGAACAGTTACATGTACATATACATCATAATACAAGAAGATAGAACTGATTTACTATAACTTAAAATATAGCTATAGTTTATCAGTTCTATCTTCTTGTAATATGATGTATATGCACATGTACCCGTTCTGTTTCACTGTGTCTTGATAAAGGAGCGGATCGCTCCGAAAATTCGACAACCTAAACTTGTCCACACTGTTGGAATTACTTCTTTGCCCCATATACTATTTTAAGTAATTCGTATCCTACGGACATACCTCCATTAAGATCCAGTCTTATATGAGATTTTACCGTCTATATTACTTCTTTGACCCATACTAGTATATATACATATACATGTATGCATACATTCATATTTATGTATTCATGTATGTATGCATATATATGTATATATTAGGTTCGACTAGACATAAAATTGCCGTGGAGTAGAAGACAGCCCTTTTTTATGAACGGAACTTCCCGCATATGACCAGAGCACATACGTTTCAGGTTTCTTATATCAGTCGGGAGTCTAATATGTTTGTTATTATGTTTGTTAATTCTATATAGATGTTTACCACCTGTTTGTATTATGATTTGATGTTTATATTGAATATTTCTAATCTTAACTTAACTTTGGATCCTACACCCATCCCTAGTTTGCTGTGGCCATATGTTTTTATTTTTTTAAATGGTTCTTTTACTATATTGCGTAGTACATTATTTTCTCCTACCTCGTTCAATGTTTCTCGTAGTTCATGGCATTTAAAAGTCCCATCAACGATACAGCTTTGAAATAGGTTATCTAGTGACATTGCCATGCTCATGTAAATATTTGTCTTACTATTTCTTTATCTCTTTATTTTCTTTCTTTCTTTCTGCTAAAAACAGTAGATAAAATAAGATTCAATGTTAGTCACATAAAGTTAAGATTTTTTGTTTTTGTTTTTGTTATATTATCATTTAGTATAGGCGATATTCCTTTTGTTTTGTGTTGTTGATATATTAAAAACAATTTTCAATATCAATAAGGAAATAAAGGCAAAGTATGAATTGTCGAAAGAATGTAAAAGAGTGAGCGTGTTGATTAGAATACTTATTAAATGTTAATAGTCTAATGTACTTTAAACAAAAATTCTGAAAAATTAAAATTTACAAAAAACAAACAAAACCTTCCAGTTCAAGTCATATCATGGATACGTGTACATTGTACAATGTACGTACTATATTTAACCTCACATAGCCCTATCAGTCACAGGTGATGCTCCGCTTGCCTGTAAAACTCAATATAGATTGACTTAACCAGTACACTCCTTTAGTTGTGAATAGTTTCACCAATACTTAAAGTTATTAATATGTATATCTTGTTTAATTATGAGTTGTGTATCCAAGTTCCCATGCAATCAATCAATATTTTTTAGGGTATACCATTTGTCCCATGAATCTTTTTCATCGACGTATCGTAATGAAATCCACGTACCTCTCATTCATATTACACTACCTGTCAGACTTTATTATCAAATACATCATATACATGTTCCGATGATATATAACTAAATGTTTGTAAATAATTCGAGTAGAAACAAATATTTTGAAATTTTGATAAGTTTACTTGAGCTTTAGAAAAAGACCCACATGATGGGAAAAGATTTGATATAAATTGTCATATAGGCTTCTTAAACTTTAAATGATATATCTATTCGAATTGGGGATTTAAATAAATACCGTATTGCTTCCACATTCCTTAAATTCGTATGTGTGTTATTTGTCAAACGTGCTGTGCTACACTGAATTGCAATACTAAAATATGATACCTTCATAAATATACCTCGATTGCATGCATGATGATTACAACTGAAATATGTGAATTCAACGTTGCCATGACATTACGTTACACATATGAATCATGAATTGACAAAATTAGTATATAGTGCAGCATTTCTTTTTACTCAATATGAGTTCTGCAATGACCTACTAAAATTGTAAATAGTTCTCCTTACTTCTTGCTTTTAATGATTATCTAACGACACAGCTTGGTTTACTCTTCCGCTCTACTATGACTTTCCGAGGTAACCGTTTAGAATGTATCCGAGTACATTTATAAGTAAAAATTGCTTTAAAAAAATCATTATCAGTTGTCGCCAAAAGAGTGTTAATTTGGTTACCTTTCCTCTTTCATTGAATTTTTACACTTCTCGGTACACGTTATATATTAATAGTAATTTCTTTGATCGTTAGTACTACTGAGTAATCCGAAAGTGATGAAATGGCTTTATGGTGCAGTACACATTTACTCTCTTTGGCTTATGCATCGATTAAATAACAAACAAAACACAGAAAAAGGTTACTACATTAGTTTGTGTTTCGATTGCTTATTTTAAATCTAAAAAGACTGCTAATACAAAGAAATATGCTTAACTGTGAAAAAGAAACATAACAAAACCACGGACGATACATGTACGAAAGTCCTTTCCCTGCGAATCGCTACTTTTTTGAATTCCACTGAACACTGGGAAATAATTGAACGAATTTTATATGATAGAACCACCTGCAGTGATCTCACTTGCTGATGATGGCTCGGCGCGACGGTACATATTTGGTCGTTGCGGCCATTGATTTTGGTACAACGTATTCTGGTTACGCCTATTCCTTCAGAGATGACTTTGTGAAGGATCCACTTAAAATTCTCACCAACGCACAGTGGATAGACGACGAAACTAACTTAGTTACTGTCAAAGGTAAACTTAAATAGTAATCTACCTGCTATGTATTTATTTGTGTCGATCGACCTATTTCGGTTCTTTCTGGAAGTTGTATTATTAGCGATATTAGTTGCCCTGTAATACACGAACTGTTAAATCTGTAAAATTGTTGAGATTTTGAGAACTAAGACTATTGAATGTTTACACATTTGTGCGAGATATTTGATAGAGCCAATTATAGGAATGTTAACATTTTGATGAAAAGTAAATGGATCAATTTTAGTTTATGTATTGTTATTTGGAAATGGGATCAAAGAAGGCCGCCGTGACCAAGTTAAATAGATTTCTTTTTTAAGTATGTGCTACTATTTTACTAGACATACATTTGCAGAAAACCTCAACAGTGATTGACTTGCTATCCATAACCGTTTGATATCCAAACACTGAGTGTACTTGTTACACAGAGTTAAATCCGGTCTTTTGCAATTAAAGATTACTTATGACATTATTTATCTGTTTTGCATATGCCCTGATATATTAACCTGGGATATAGACGCCCTGTACGCCACTAAACAGTCTTTTTCTTCATCCAACAGCCATGTCGTGGCTCGAGAAAAGACCAATTGCATGATCGTGAGGGGCGACCAATGTGGGAACCCCCTGCACAATTATGGATTTGCATTTGTGCTCTTTACTTCGGAACAAAAAGGCGACCAAAATAAATCTGCTGCACCCATTACAATATTTCGTTCTACTACTAACTATTATCATTTTCCTAACGCCTTGCTTGGCAACACCTCACCTTTGTCTTTAATGTTGAACGTTCGCCCAGATGGGGAAGGAAATGGGTTCTGTCCCCAGGCCGCGACATACCAAAGTCCTTAAAAATTGTAGTTATTATTCCCTGCTAAACGTTCAACATTACAGAGAATGTCAAAAACTGGTTCACTGGTTGTCAGTATAATGTGACTGGGCGGAATGCTCTGCTGGGTGCGTTTGGCATGGTGTTTCAGTTAGATAGCACAATAAAGTCGGCATCAAATCCACGCTATCAAAGGTTTCAATAACACCAACAAACCCTGCCTCCAACACACATACATACATTCACGCATACACAGCACACAAAGAGAGACGTCCTTGAATAACCGTAGCTGTTAATATGACGTTTAACAATATCAAACAAAAGCCCTTCTTCAGCCCACTGTGTTTCATGTTTTTATAGAATTTTTCTTCAAACGATCAGGACAAAATCACATTCAATGATCTCTTTTCTCTTTTCAAGGAGTTGAAAAAGGTTTAATGTCGTCAATATCGACATATTAAATGCTGGTGCTGAATATTCTATAATTTGTTTTTGATTTTGTAATACTTCTAAGTCCTCTCTTAATTTGAAGCTCCAACATCGATCTTGTTTGACAAGAACAAGAAATTCTCTTCATTTGGATTTAGTGCCGAAACGCATTACAACAGACTCGTAGACGATAAAGAAGACGAAGACTGGCGTTTCTTCAGACGATTCAAAATGAGTATCGTGAGATGAAAGAAGACAATGAGGCGGCAGAGGTAAATACACCACTGATTTTTACTTCAATATGGATTACAACAAGGATAAGTTGGAGACATCTTTACGAGAATTCAACATTATTTTCCCCACTCCGTCATATTGCCCGAACATCTCAAAATATCTCTTTTTTTCTATTCTAGGAAACACAGTGTGTAGATTGCCCGCTTAGTTAAATTGCCCATTCTGTTAAATTGCTTGCACACCTTAAAATATTATTATCAAGGAAAAGACATTTTCTTTTACAGACCAAGGGGATACTCTTACTGTATTTAACTGTCGCATGAATCCGTTTCACTGGTTCCGGAGGCAGTAAAATGGATATTATATTTGACTATGATATACAGCCGGGTTGTCCCCATTATATTTTAAAATCAGCTTAACATCCCTAAATAAACGACGAATAAAAGATGTTTCTGTATGTTGTCTACACAATCTGTGTCTCTATGTAGTGGATTGATTTGTGACGTCAGGAACATTCAAAGTGAGGCGGATTAACATTGAACTCTTGGGATAATACTATTTCATGACGTGTCTGGGTCATTGACGACATTTAAAATCGCCAGCCGGGCCTCATATGCAAATGAAAAATTGGGAGACGGTATATCGTGGTTATACCGTCGCCAAATATTGCGTTTAACCAATCAAACGCCGTGTAACATCTCAAATGAAGAAGAATATATGTTTTGTGCTCGCAATTACAAGGTGTAATGTTTTGATTATTCATATTTCAGTTGGCACGTCACCGCAGACTGTTAGGTCAGAGTCTAAAACTAAAAGAAGCACACGGTAATAGTATGGCTGCAATGGATATCTTTAGTGATGCGATACGTTATCTCAAAGACCACTTCCTCACGACTCTGAATAATTCCGTTAAAGGCACGAGTGAGGATGACGTTCACTGGATTTTGACCATGCCGGCGATCTGGTCAGATGCAGCGAAACAGTTCATGCGAGAAGCTGCAGAACAGGTATGCCCTGTGATTGTCGCTACACTTGTGTGGACATATATTATTACTACAATAAGTTTTGAATTATCTACCTTTTCTGAAAAGATTTTTTTTTTATAATCGTATTTAAAAGCATTCTTGAAGTAATGGTATTTACTGTGACGTGTACTTACTGTATTTTAAGGACAAACAAAATAAAAATATGAACACTTGTCGACAGCAGAATAGAATAATGAATTGTATTCGGTTCGATTTCAGGCCGGTATCCTCAAATACCAGCTTACTTTGGCATTGGAACCGGAAGCTGCAGCTATCTACTGCAAGGAAATCGCAGTAAAGACATCAAAAGAGCAAGGAAGTTCTAAAGACTTATCAGCGTTCACGCCAGGGGAGCATTTTCTTCTTCTGGATATTGGAGGTAAAAAATGTTACAGCATTTTCTAAACATTTTCGTCATGTTGGTAAGTATGGACTGTGAAAAGATTCATGTAGCACAACCAATATGTTTTTATATGTGACGTTTCGATGATTAGTACGGTATGGACCCTGTCCCCTACATCAGACAAATTACCAGTGAAGCGTATGTACACAAAGTCTTAAAATATGTGCGAGTTGTCCCCAAATCCATGTCGGTTCGGCTACGCTGTAAGCGTATGTACAATTAGTTGTTATATATGTACCGAAATAAATCGATTCAGCTACGCTTTGTTTACTACTTGGTCATAGATGTGCGAGAGTCTTTAAGTCCCATCACCTCATCTATAACAACTTATTACATACTGTACTAGTCATCGAAACGTCACCTATAAACACTTATTCGTTGTGCTACATGAATCGTTTTACAACGTTACAGCCTGCCTTGTATGAGAATTAAAGAGGGAAAGATACAGATGCGAAATGTTGCAATGTCGGTAGCAGATCAAATTTGGTTCATTTGAGGTTCCCTAAGCACAAGAAATAGAAGGGAAAACCCCGATTATGCAGGGGGACTAACATTATTCACAGCAGGTAACTCATATCGAGTGGGAAACAGCAGGCCTATTTCAAAATGATCTTTTTTATTTATTGGTGGTACAGTGGACATCACCTGCCATGAAGTCATAAATGACGGCACATTGAAGGAAAAACATCCACCTACTGGAGGGCCGTGGGGTGGAACCGTTGTGGACGAAGCTTACTTCTGCTTCTTACAAGATTTAGTGGGGCAGGAGGCATGGAAAGACTTCACTAAGAACAACCCAGCAGACAAACTTGAAATTGAAAGAATGTTTGAAATGAAGAAGAGGAATTTGAAAAAGAATGATGACACTATTATCAGAGTTGGAATCAACTTCTTGCAAAGCTACAATAATGTATGTAAATGTACCCTTGCAAAGACTCTTTCTGAGAAGAAAACCATATATTCTACTACAGTGGAAGTTAAGAAAGAAAAGTTAAAAATTCAAAACAGTCAGATGATGGAATTTTTTGAAGGCCCAATGAATGCAATTGTTGAACATCTCGAACGGCTTTTCGTGATGAAATCGTTGGTTCGTGTGAATACTATCCTAATGGTTGGAGGGTTTCCGAATTAGATCAAATGAAACAAAAAATAATGTCCTGTGTATTAATGCGCTTAGTTGTTTATAACTAATTGCATTGATACAGTTTTTATTAAAATCATTATTACAAAAAATATAGAATGATTTATTACAATAATGATTATAATTATTTTTCAAACATTCTAACTATTGTTTCAGCTATTAAGATTTTTTAATTTATGATAATTTATAATATTCATCATTAATAAAATTTATAAAATCAATTTGATTAGCAATACAATTATTACAACAATTAATACAATTGTTATCACATGATTATTACCAAATAAGAATTAATGCATATACATTCTGGGATTTAAGAAGATCACTTGAAGGGAAATACCTGAATTATTACCCAAACTGTTTTCAAGTTGGTTTCAAACAATGACTTTGAACATTTGACCCATTCTCTGTCCATTCTGTTGCTATCTAATTGTGTTGAGTGTTATATCTTTCTTCTCTTGTAGCCGCCTCAGATATGAAGCCAACCGGACCCAGAAATAATCCCTTAGGTGGTTAACTAGGTCAGATAGAGGATAGCGGGCAGCGGACAATGGCAATGGACACATGACAACACTTATACTTGTACATTGATTTCGCAAATTAAAATATGCATCAATCACATATGCCTTATTTTATTTAAAACCCTCTCCACATGTCTGCCATCAAATGTCATAAGCGTAATCGAGGAGGCGAGTCCCGCATGTACTTATCGTATAACTGATCGTTCTCCCAAATAGCTTCCATAATTAACAATACGATATTTTTTTCGTATTTCACTTTATATTAGGTAGTTTATACCTACAATCTGCCGTGATATGGTTAATTAATTCAAAATTAAAATTAGAATTAATAATTATCAATTAATTATAATTGATTTGAAGCTTTCCATCTTATCAGTTACAAACAACATTTAAATACAGTGGTCGATACCGCAACAATGTTGCAGAGAATTGACAAAATACACAAGATAGTTACATAGAGAATGCCCAACGAGTGATGGTTTGTTATCACGTTTATCTAACTCAAGTTAATTCATGTTCAAATTGTATAAAGACACGAGGTGTACTGAGTGTCTTATACAAGTTGAAAATGAACTAACGAGAGTTAGATCAACACGAGATTTGGGACCTTTATTTTCCAATTACGTCCTGATATGATATCTAGAAAGCTATCTACTTCTCTTTAGAATGCATTTTTCCTGTTAACAATGATTTCACAATGGCAGATGACGTCGCAAAACATGGTTACTTGACGTCATAATTAGTACATCGACCAATAAATAATGTTCAAGACGTTAACCAAAAATATTTATCAACTCTTAGCAGGTTCATATAGTGGTTGTAGGAGAAATACAATTCATCATTACATCATAGTCTTTCTTAATCAAGTGACGTCATAAATAAATGTTTACGTATATTTTAACATAGTTAATTCCTTTTGGTTATTTGTACACAATAATGGTTATATAGTATGTGATAACATGTTTAGTTGTTTTTTTAACAGATAGGCAGAAAAATAAGTATGCTGAAAACAGTACAAATCGCCACTTCTAAAACCTGTACCTAAAATTAATCAACCTAAGATTATATGTTATCTACATAATCAAAGGCAGATTCATCATCGAAACTCAAGAGGTTACACTCTCTTGTGTTCTCTGCACCCTTGGAATAAACCAAACTCAATGGATGATACAAGTAGAACACATTGATCGCGCAGCAGCGTAACGGTTACTTTGACCATATTTGAAGTCAGGGTAATATTCAAAGGGAGGTATCGGGATAGCGCCAAGTCATTTTTTCACCTGAAACCAATCTCATAACTTACTGGGAGTCTTCCATTTTGTCACGACAGAGGTGCATATAACGTAACGAAGCGTTACCCCCTGGAATTTTGAGGATCAGACAGAATAGAATATACTCGTTTGTCTGTCTTAGGAATTTTACCTCAGCCTTTTGTAAAAGTAAACGTAACGCATATTCTATACGGATGCTATACAAAGGATCTATGTTTGAGTCAGAAACATTTTCTATTTCATGAATTTCGGAGAGATGTCTATATATTCTTGGTAAATACACTGTATAACTTAGTAATAATATAATTTCCTCCCTTTTATACCAAAACGAGAAAACAACAGTGGTCTTATCGTAGCAGGGATGAAAGACATGTTAGTTGACTGCAGTCTATTGTTAGGCAAACTATAAAGGTCAGCAATTCTTAAATTGTGTTGTGATTTTTTCTAATAGGAGAGGAGGGAGTAGAGTGTTGAGATTGTATATAGAATATTTGAAGTTTTCGACGGATCTCCGCTGAGGTAAATATTTAGATTGTCTGCTAGTGTAGGAAGGAAAACCAATGATAATACGTCCAGCCTCAAGTTGAAACTTCTCTTAACTTATCTGCACCAGCATGAGAAAAACCATCCCATAGTTCACAGCAATCTTCTAGATTAGGAGGAAAGTAAGGTCTTAAAGGTTTTATTTAGTGTACATTGGCTAAAAGTAAATTTAGTGTACATTGGCTAAGAGTATATTTAGTGTACATTGGCTAAGAGTATATTTAGTGTACATTGGCTAAGAGTATATTTAGTGTACATTGGCTAAGAGTATATTTAGTGTATATCGGCTAAGAGTATATTTAGTGTATATCGGTTAAGAATGTATTGTAATGTACGGAGGATACCAAATTGTTTCACAACGCTTTTACAAGTATTTTCAATATGACAACCCAAATTATAGTTTGCATCATTGAATACTCCTAAATGTTTATGATTGTCAACAAAATCGATACTTGCATTACTAAAAATTAATTTCAATGATGTGATCAAACAATATAATTAAAATCAGATCTTCGCATCGCTTCTGTTAACTGATATGTCGCTTGGATTTTATTTTTGGAGATCACTATTCATTTTTTGTTCGACTACTGGGGGAGATTTTTCAGAGCCAAAAACAGATGTTTCATCTGCAAAAGTTTCGAATGACTTTCTAGATTCTTAGTTATATCGTTGATATATAGTATAACAAAAACGGACTAAGAGCTGCACCCTTAGACACTCCTGCAGTTATTGTCTTCACAGGGGATGTACCCGTTGAAAACTATTTTTTACAAACAAATGTAGGCCATTAATCTTTGCATCAATTTTCTTGATACTCCGAAACTGGACAGTTTAACTTCCAGTCCTCTGTGTTACACCTTGTAGAATGCCTTAGAAATGTCGCAGAACACTAGACGTGTGGGCTGTTTTCTTTCCAGATTGTCACACACTTTATGATATATTTGTATATGTACAGAAGAATGACCTCACTGAGAGTTAAATATAGAGAATGATCTAAGAGATAATTATGTAAATATTTCGCTGCTAATCTTTCAAAAACTATACCTTTCAGGTGTGTCATTAAACAAGTATGTGATAAATCAAAAATGTTCAAATCATCTTTTACAAACATTTTGTTTGGGAGGACGAGGAGGAGGAGGAGAAGGAGGAGGAGGAGAGGAGGAGGAGGAAGAGGAGCGGAGGAGGAGGAGGAGAGGAGGAGGAGGAGGTGAGGAGGAGCAGGAGGAGGAAGAGGAGCATTTCACCACTTACAATAAGATTCAGTAATATAACCCTTACACCATATCATGAAGCTTGACATTACATGCACACATGGCTACGATGATATATTTTATGAAACACCGGAAATTATTTTATTTTTGCGAATACAAACGAAATAAATGTTATAACGTTTCCTTTTATATGGAGAATTTACATGAATAAATACTCAGGGATATTGGGAATCGAGATATGATCTCTATGCGAACTAACACGAATATATTTCACTCCCTTAAAATAAGTTACTTCCACCATCATACTAGCCTAGGCCAACTAGTCTTTTACAATACAATGGAGACAACTCTTATACAAGTAGATAAAATATAACCAGGATGTTTACAGAGGGCCGCTCGTAAAATGTCACTACAGGACGGACACTGTGCGACAGCCTAACGGTAAAATTGACCAGATTTAAAGTCAGGGTTTACTCAATATTCAGTAATATTCAAAGGAGATGTATCGGGATAGCGGGAGGTCATTTTTTTTACCTGACACCAATCGAATAGCTATACACATGCCTTCCATTTTGTGAATGACATATTCACGGGGTGCAGATAACGTAACGGAGCGTTATCCACTGGAATATTGAGGATGAGACAGAATAGAAAATGCTCGTTTTTCTGTCTTGGGAATTTCACCTTAGCCTTATGTAAAAGTAAAAGTTACGTAGATTCTATAAAGATACTATACAAAAGATCAATGTTTAAATTTACAGCAATTTCTGAAGTATTTCTGACAGAGTTCCATATTATTTTGGTTTACATTGTATTACTGAGTAATAACATAGTTTTTCTCGCTTTTGTACCAAAATGATTAAGCAACACTAGTCAATGATAAATCAGACTTTTGGTCATCCATTGCACTTATCATAGAAAATGACCTCAAAAGTTTTATTCAAAAAGGTGAAATCTATTTAAGTTAAATATGGTTCATACATATGGGGCCGGTCTGTTAAATGTAGTCACCAATACAGGCAAAAACAATAATGGAAATTACAAGTCAGGGAGATCATTGCTTTATGTTAAAAGGATAAGGTATTTTCTATATCTCAAGATTTTCCTCTGAACTGCTGTTCAAATAGGAAGGCAGGATAGAACCACCAAATCTCCTTTGATAAGCATTTGATAAGAATAACATGACAATTTCAAGATTGTCGACACACTAATCACTACTTTTAAACAGCAAAAGCTATAACTAACCAACATTTGTCGAAATTTATTTTAGAAGTAGCAAAGGGTCAAGATGTCGAAAGCATGGTTAGATTTTCGAGCCGTTTAACAAATTTTCCAAATGCGTTGATTTATAAAAACATTTAAGCACTTTCTGTTGTTTAATTTGGGTTGTTTTTTGTTTATCTCCAGCAAATCATTTTTAATATTCATGAATGTAACTTTCGGTATGCATTTCAATGTTTTAGACAAATATTTTGAATTCAAGTTAAGCGTTATTTTTTCTGTATGCTAACCATGCTTTAAACAACTTTGCTCCGTCAGAATGATATCGGAAATGATTATGTTTTGAAGCTTCGATTTCGATCTGAAAAAAACTTCTGAATTTACTCATAATATTCTGAATAATGTATTTTTTGCTATATATATGAAATCGTGTCGTTTGAAGTACAGCAACGATTATGTATTTACGCAAAAATGAAGTTTATCATAATATATATTTTTGTAGTCATGTACGTATAGAGGCATAAAGTTTATAGTGTTTACAAATGTACAGTGTAAGGGAGACAACTGCTACACAAACCACAGGCAGCATTCCCTGACCAGTAAATGTAACATTAGTAAGATGGTACTTTAGTTGAAAAGTAATCTTTATATGATAAAGCATTGTATTAAAACAATACAGACTTTTTCACAAATTGTGTAGTAATTCTTACTTAAAGGGACATCATCACGTGAAGAGCCATATTCGTGTTAATGAATATATGTGTGGTATGCATTTCCACTTATCTTACTTTGCTATCCTCATATTCATAGTCCGTTCCAAATGTCCAGTTTGACCACCTGAATTGTTCGGGAAT